AGGTGCTCCAGCCCTCTGATTTTCCTCATTGCTCTCCTCTGGATCCGATCCAAGAGGTCCACACCATTTTTATGTTGGAGGCCCCAGGGCTGGACGCAGCACTATAGGTGGGGTCTCACCAGAGAGGAGTAGAAGGGCAGGGTCACCTCCCTCGACCCGCTGGCCACGTTTCTTTTGGCGCAGCCCAGGATACGGCCGGCTCTCAGGGCTGCGAGCGCACACCTCTCGTGCTCGCACATGTCCCCCCTCAACAGCGGGGGTTTGGCACGGAGGGGCTCCACCGCCGCTTGGTAGCACTGTCCTGAGCCTGGTCCTGACACCAGCTACCAGGGCAGGAGTCCTGCCGCGTTCTCCGTCTCCCTGCATCTCCGTCCCCCTCCGTCCCCCTCCGGGCACGGACACCCCTCTGCAGGACGCACCGCGCAGCGATCTCCTCCCCGCCTGCTCCCGCCCGCCCGCTCGGCACCACCCGCGCCCCTCCCGTCCGTCTGGGGTCCCGCCCGCGGGTGTCCCGAGTCCCCGACGGTAGTCGGGACCGGGACGGCCTCTCGCGTTCCTCCCGCCCGCAGCTTCGCGGCCGCTCCGGTTGGTGGTTCCGCGGTGGTTCCAGGGAGCCGCGGTGGGGGCGCAGCCCGCGGAGGCTCAGTTTGTCGGTCAGGGCAGCCGTATTTCCGTGCCCCGCGGCCTTGTTTGTCATGCAGGGAAGGCTGCGTGCTGCAGCCCAGGCACGTGTCTTTGGCTGGCTGCATTGACGTACTGGGAATGCGTGTGTGCCTGTTTGTGCGTGACGTGGTGAGTGTGAGATCTGCGTGAGCCGGCTGCGGTGTGCGTGGCGTTTGCATATTTTATGCTTGGGAAGGCAAAAACCAGCAATTTTTCATGAGCAAATATTTGCATATTTTCCACTCGTTCGAGCAGATAAAGCATTTCAATTCTCTGCTGGATCCTCAGGAGAGCCAGGAGCATCTTCTCTTCAAAGGTGTTTCCATTTCTTCTATCTCCCCATCTCTACAGGCTACCCTATTCCAACAACAATTAACTGCTTCCTGCCCCCTCCACCCCCTTGTTCCGTATCCGTGTAGAACAGCTGAATCAGAATGTGGCCTGGACCGTTTTGCTGTTGCCTGATCCGAGCTGCTGTGATTCCCTGCTGATGACAAATACAGTGGCTCCCTAACAACAGCTCCAAATGACATAAGTGTGGGCTGCGTTGGTAACAGCCTGGAATGCACCCTCACTTCTCCACACTGAAGCCCCTCCGCCATCGCCTTTCACTGCCCTTCCAGATTCTCTCCTGAAGATCCATCGCAGAGCAGAAGGGTCACACTAAGTGGGTCCAAAGCTGCCGCGGACCACCATTGTGTACTTGGGTTTGCAGGTATGGTGGGTGGGTACGTGTGGGGGGAAGGTCATTTGGAAGGTCCAGATGTCATCTCCCAGTTTGAGCCCATGCCTGGGCTATGTGCATTAAGGTGCGTGTGCTGCATTCTTGGCGTTCATGCTTAGGCCAAGAGATATGTGCATGTCTGGGTCCGTGTGCGTCTGTGCGGGTGGCCACATGTGATCTCATACATACATCTAGATGCCCTTGAATCAGTGTACCCACAGAACACGAATATGTACATATATTTATACACATTCACGCAGTTGCAGGTAGCCACACATACAGGCATGCAATCACGTAAACACACTTGTATGCACGCATGCACAACAGATAGGAATGCCTCTCTGTATCTGCTCTTGTGCACTCTGACGTGTACATGTGAACTCTCTGAGCAGCTGACACAACACGTTCCCTGTGTCTCTAACCCCCCATTTATGATCACACGTTTACTGGGAGGAGGCACTGCACAATGCTGCTGAAATCATTGCGGCCCTTTCTGGTCTTGCAGCTCCGATCGCTACGTGACAAGAATAAAATCTTTTGTGCAACACGGGGCTTGATGGAGCCCTTATCTCTGTGTCTCTGCACTCAGAATAGTAAACTCCATTTCCATATCTGACTGGAAAAAATCCCCCTGAACATGTCCAGAATTTCACTTAGCCACTGCGCATGGTCCCTGTGGCCTCTGGGTTGCCTGGAGTCAACTGCACCATTGTTAAGGAGAGAGAGGGATCACAGAGGCAGTCAGATTAATGCTATTACTACAGGAAAAGCTGGGGATTCACCAACAGGGAAACGGAGATGAGGAGAGAGCAGGGGTCAGAAGGCAGCAGGTTACTGTCCATCATTCCAAACACCTGTTCCTATGAAAAACAGCCTTTTAATCAGTGGTGATATTTTGCAGAATTTTGTAGCATTTGTTTTCTCCTCATGAATTTTGGACAAAAAAAGCCCCTTTTTTTTTCCCCTCCTCCAGTCTTATTTTCTGTTCATCTTCATTTTTTTCAGCAATTTGTCACTGCAAAATAGGATGCAGCATAGGGGGGCGAAGAAAACACAAGACAGAAAAATATGATGCTTGTTTCTTTTCTTTTAATCTCCTATTTAAACCTCAGGGTTTTTTGCAGGTCTCCCTGGAAGGTATCTTGTTTTCCCCAGCAGGCTCCCCTGCAGAGCTGCCTTGGTGGGGGCTCAGATTCTGTGTATCAAAATAATGTCTCCTTGGCACAATTGCTTGGTGCTGGCATTGCAGTGCTTGGGCTCTAACGGATGTCAGTATTTTAAGAAGCCAACCAGTCGATGGAGTTTCTTGAATGGTGATTTACAGCAGATGGAGCTGCAAAGGCGTGTGCAATGAAGTCTCATCCTGATTTGGTGAAGGAGACTGTCTCTGTTAATTGTGTTGGCAGCTGGGGAACTCCCCCATCTCCCCACAGCAGCTGGATAGCCACTCCACGGATAAGGAAACCCACCCTTTATCTGCCCCCCACCCACTTGAGCTGCCTCCTACAAGGTCCTCAGTCACTGTCACATGCCTTCTTCAATGCCTGGTCGTCAAACACAGTGCTACAAGCTTCCCAGATAACACCATTTTTCCTCTATTCTACAGGGATTGCTGTGCCAGTGGAGTCCAGCATTCACCTTGCTCTGCTCCTCATTGCAAGAGGAGCAATGCAGATTCCTGTTTAAAGGTCTGTGTTGTCCATCTGTCTGACCACTTGGTAGTCAGACCTTTTACTCTTCCTACTGCTTGTTGCCCCTTACAGAGGCAGAAGCTTTGGCAGTCCATCCTCAGTCTGCTAGGATTGCTTGATTGTGCTTCATCCAATAGATGTTGCAGGAGCTCCCCAAGAAAATAAAACAGAGGCTTTTTTTAGTTCAACAGATTGTATCCCACGCCCATGAATAGTTTGGCTGCCTTTCTCACTGGGGCCCACAGTGTGGGAACCTGATGCATGGATGGAAGGAGGAGGAGATGTAAAGAGGTAGCAGAGGATAGAATCTGGCTACCAAGCACTTTTTTTCCCCTGTGAGTTGAGCCCGCACTCCTGGGTGATGGCCCATGCTCAGGGGGCAAGTAGCACTTTGTAAGAGGAGCTAAGCAATTGCTGTATGGTATCACTGGTAGCTCAGCTACTCGGGCTGAGCCTGCAGGCATGAACAGCTTGGTGTTCCAGGCTTAAAGAGGAAACATGAGGATGTAGGTTTCCTCCTTTCTCGTGGAGGTGATGGCAGTACCCGTGGCTGAGCGCACAGCTGAATGTCTTTGGTTGTGTTTGCAGTCCCTTCTCTGCCTTCCTGAGCTAACATGGCTAGGAGATGTCTCTTCTCCTCATGCCCTGTGACAGTCCTTTCCTGAACTCAGGTGTCCTGCACTGCAGTTCCTCTAGTGCCTGCCAGGCCTTCACTTCTCACATTGCCTTTATGTGACTTTGACTCCTGCTTCCTCATAAAGTGGTTCTGTTGCCACCATCCTCAGCTGCTGCAGCTTGTTCTGCTGCCCAGCCCAGGGCTTTTGGCTTCTGTCCAAGCACACCTGTTCCCATGCCACCCCTTCACTTCTCTTGCCTTCTCTCAAATGACCCATGAGACATCTTTCTATCACTCAGCCAACTCTCATAACTGACTCTCCATAGACTACCTCCTCCAACATCTCCTGACCTCAGGGAGACACGTCTCCTTCTGGTGTGTGCCTCCTTCCCATTTCTCAAAATTATTTATAGACAAAAGTGCCCAAATATAACCAAGGGCTCTGGTATGAGGACCATTTTGGTGGCTGTAGCTTAGCAATAGTATTCATGGAGAAGTTAAAGGTGTGGGAGGAATGAAGCCAAAGCAAAGAAGGAGACCTTCATCCCACCCACCCTTGTACATTGCTGCTGTTCTAACCTACATGTTCACATGGACCCACTACAGCTTCCCTCCAACAACCAATGCACAGGAGCAAGCACTGGTCCAACTCAACACACATATTCTCACACTGTTACCCAAGCATTCACATGTGCACACACACTTTCCATAAATACTTGCATGCCTGCAAAACTATACCTGCACTGAAACGTTCCACAATTACATTAACACATTCCCCCATCTGTGTTTGTATACACTTATACACATGCATACCCCCTTATGTATGCCTGTACACATTTACCTACACTACACAGATTAGCATCAGTGCCCAACCCACACACATCTCCCACCAATCTGACTCCTCTGTCTTCCATCCTCTGCAGCCATTCTCAGACATGTACAGTCCAGGGAATAAACTTTTGCATACGACAATCTTTGTGCACATGCAAACATATGAACATCATTTCTTCACCATCCCGAACTAAATACCATTTCCCACAAGATGAATCAGTTCCTAGTATTGCCCAGACTCTCTGCAACCATAGCTCTTACACACTGGAGATCCCCTGACCTCCCTCTGCTTCCTGCCCCCATCCTGTACTGATAGATGCCTTGATCTCTTGTATCAGCCAAACAGTACTCCATACAGAGATCAACTCAACCCAAAGACAATGTATATTCTCAGGAGAGCCGAATCTGTGGCACCCCCCTCCCCTAAACACACAGAATGTTTCTGTCCTGTTGGCCTTTTATGTCCAAAGGCTTTTTTTTTTATTTACAGTAAGGCTTAGGGAGAGGAAAAGGGAAAGGGCATTTCAGCTTGTAAGAAACACTGCCTCTGATTCATGTCGCATTGTCTTTTTCTCTACCTTTGTTACACCTCCCACCGGGGTGCAGAGGCACCAGGAAAACCCTGAAGAATGTGAGATGCAGGAAAGAAATGTTCCATTTTTTTCTCCCAGGTAAGTCCCATCAGCCTGCCCAGAGTCCATGAGAGCCTTAAAAAGAAAGAGGAGGTTTTGAGCAATTAGTAGTCTCCAGCCATGACCAGCATGGGCAGGAAATCTGTCCCCAAGGCATTTTTAAGAGCTAGAGAGGGGTCAGCCATGCATGCAACTGGCTGGTATGTCTTTGCTGCAGACATTTTTCCTCCCTGTTTGTCTTTCAGGGTAAACCACTTCTTGTGTTTGTAAGGAGGATAATCAAGGCACTGGGATGCCTACGTGTAGTATATGCCATTTGGGAACTTCCTTGACATGCTACAATCAGATGGCAGCTGATGCCCTCCACAGCTGAGTCATTTAAGGACAGATCATGCAATCTAGGGCTGATCTTGCTCTCTCTGTATTGTCAGTGCCCAGCACCTCTTCAGCTCCCCCTGGATGCAGTCCATTCTTTATCCAGTACCACATAAACCTCAGGTGTCTTTTCCAAAGCCAAGAAAAATGTCTTGCTTTTTCTACAAGTTCATGGAGCCCTCTTCATCTTTAAAACAGACTCTTGGACTTTAATATGCCTTTGTCTCCCATTGCCTTTGAGGTTGAAAAGCAGATAAGGTGAAGGGGACCTCATGTTCCGATGTCTCTTTCCCCTACACCATCCCTTTCATCACAAATAACTGACATGCAACTTGTTGCTCTTTTCACATCCCACAGGCTGCTCAGGGAGTGGTTTTTGCTCATTGCTCTCTCCTTCTTCACCGCTTAGAGGGCGCTCCTGCCTGCCATTTCCATTCTGGGTGATCTTGCTGATCTCACCCTCTTCCCCTTCATCATTGGTCTTCTCTGGGGGGCCCGCTGGCACCTCCTGGCTCTGGACTCGGCGGGATGGCCTGAAGATGGCCCTCTGGAAGCCCTGCTTGAAGCGGTAGGAGAGGAAGCCATAGATGATAGGATTGGCACAGCTATTGGCATACGGCAGCACCACCACAAGGAAGTAGACACCAAAGAGGGACGGCTCCTCTGGCAGTGGGCAAACAACATTGATTATGTTGAGGACATAGAAGGGGAGCCAGCAAAGGACGAAGACAGCCACAACAGTCACCACCATGCGGGTCACTCTGCGCTCTGAAAGCTTGTGCTTGGAGGACAGAGCCCTCACCCGCCTGCCAGAGGAACGAACCTTCACAACAATCAGAAGATAGCAGAGACAAATCACCAGCAGTGGTCCAAAGAAGCCCAGCGTAGCAGTGTAGATGATGAAGCCAGCTCTCCACACCGAGGCTGGCTCTGGCCACTGGATGTGGCACGTACTCATCCCTAAAGGGACGTCTGAGAAGACAACCACAGGCAGCACCACTATTGAAGACAGCACCCACACCGTTGCACTCACAGCCTTGGCCACTCGTGCTGTCCGCCATTTGGAGGACTTCCCTGGGTGGACCACTGCCAAGTAGCGATCAACACTCATCACCGTCAGGCAGAAGATGCTGGTGAACTGGTTGATGGCATCCACGGCCATCACCAGGCGGCACATGAAAGAACCAAACGGCCAGTAGGAGAGGGCATTTTGGGCAGCCAGGAATGGCAGGCCCAGCATGAAGAGCTCATCAGCTAGGGCCAGGTTCAGGATGTAGACGTTGGTCACTGACTCACTCACTGAGTGCCGCAGGACCACATAAATGACCAGAGAATTTCCAGCCAGCCCCACCACACAGACAATGAGGTAGACCACAGGGATGAGGACACCGCTGACAACTACACCAGGGCTGACAGTAGTGGAGCTGTTGGGGGTGGTGAAGCCTTCCCAGCTGCTAGAGGCATTCCCCTCCTCCGACACTGCCGGTGTGGGGAGGCTGAAAGCAGAAGTGTTCATAGCAGAGGGAGGGCAGGGGGCAGTGTCCTCGCAGGATCAGTTAGCAATCTGGAAATGAGAGGGGGAGAAAAAAACACATTGATACTGGGGACATGACAGCTGAACAAGCCACAGATAAAATCACTACATTAACTGTGTTTTAGATATGGGCAGGCATGGGAAGTCAAGGTGAGTTTGTGGATGCTGGCAGCCACTGGAAAATCTAGGACAATATCAAACCCATCTAGTCCTGTGAGGCACAGTGGGCATGGAGGGACAAACAATGATATGGCTCAGTGTGGGCCAATGGATTGTCTCTCCTACAGAAAGATCCTCTAGGGAAATAACAACAGACTAGGATAAGAGCAAGGAAATTTCTCATTTTCTGCTAATAGCTCCAATAGTGAGGACATGGTCACCAGAGGCCTGATTCTCATTTATGAGTGGCAGGTACCTTAGAAACCAAAGAGGGAAAAGCATCCAGTGACAAAGCCATTCCAGTTCTGACTCTGAGTATCCTCTTGCTTTCTGAAACTCTTTTTGGACTGGCCAGTTTATTGTTGGCTCTACCAGCAGAAGCAAAAGCACCTTCACCCTCAGTAGAGGCTGAAGTCAGCACCTGGGCTGGAGGGTAGCTGTTTTGTGTTATGGCAGTTTGAGAGCAAAGGAAGAGCCAGATTATTTTGAGTATAGTAAGAGGGATCAGTCCAGGTCTCTCTTTATCTCTCTCCCATTTTCTGCCTTATTGTCTCTCTCTCATTCTCTCTCTCTCTCCCTCCCTCTCTCTCTCTCTCTCCCTGCCTCTCTCTTTCCTTCTGCACCCTGCAACACACTGCTAATGACAGAGGCCCTGCCTGCCCACCTGTTTGCAACACCAAAGCAGCGTCCCAGCCCTCCTAATCTGAGGTGCCCAATTGCCCATCACGTCAGGGTTTGGCATGGAAACAGCGCTCGGCTCACTTAGAGAGAGAGCCTTGAGCAAACAAGTTCTCCATTCACCATGAGGTCACTGCTGACACTGGGTGAGAAGCTGCAGGGAGAGAAGAGACAGTTAAGGGACAGACGTGCCTTTTGTGAGGGCTCCAGATATGTGAAATACAGAGCCCAGCACATACTACAGACCAGAGATACCCTGGTAAACCTTATGCAGGGGAGATCTGTGATGCTTTCAGAATCAGTCTAGCTCTGGTAAAATCTTCTGGAGGTGTAGACTGACAGGGTCATCCTCCTGATGAATTAGCTTGTTGGAAGGGAGGATGACTTAGTAGTAGGGAACAAGGACCCTGAGGTTCACCTTTACGCATCTCAACAAATCTCCTAGGACTCTGAAGCTCTTTTTCTATTGAAATTAAAACTGGGAATCTCAAAGGAAAGGAATCCCAATCTTAACTACATTCAGGAGGCCAGAAACACTCCAAAGACTATTCTCCCAAATGTGTTGGCATCACAACTTCCTTCACAAATGTCTTAATATTACAGCTTTTATTCTGTTTTTTTGTAGATGTCATCCCAAGTTCTGGAAACACTGGGGGAGACCTGAGCTTTAGATGGATATCAGACAAGCAAACCCAACAAACTCCACAGATGTATCCAATCTTATACTGAAGGAACCTCATCTGGTAGGCCCCATAAAAACAGTTGGGCAACTATGTCTTAAGGCCATTTCTACAGGCTATTGCATGAATGTTTCCTGCTTTGAAGCATTTGAGCTTTGGAGGACTGGAATTGTTTAAATTTTCTTTATTTGCAGGTGCCTTGGGCTGTGACACACTGTCCTGATAGCAGCCCATCTACTGAGGTCCTGCAGCACTGGATTGTCCCACACATCATGAGTGGCTGTAATGAATGGGCAGAGTAGAAAGTGGTTTGAAACTCTAAACTGAGGGGTCTTTCCTCTGATATTTTTTCCAATGCTGTTCTAGTGACACAAATCACTTGTTGGAGGAAAAAGGAGGGCAATGGCTGCTCTAGGTACAAAGATCCCTGAAAAGGGTGGCAGAGGCCAGAACAGTATGTTCATAAAAAGATGGTCCTCTAAAAGGTGAGGACGTAGTTAGGAATTCCTTTGGATATTCCTCCTGCATGCAAATGAATTAAAAAAAAAAGCCAAACATTTGAAAAGAGAGCCCTCCAAATACCAAATGGGGATAAAGATTCTGATGCTGGGGCTAAAGAGCATTTGGAGAAGTATCTGGGGTCCAGACCTCGAAGCTTGTTGTTCAGGCTGTGGTTTAGCAATAAAGTAAACCCAGCTTCAGGGCCCCAGAAAACCTATCAAAAATGATAGGGCATGCAGCAAAACCCATGGATTTTCTATAAACTCAATTTTCCTGCTCAGAGAGATGCAGTGAAGAAACTTTAAGCAGATATGGTCTGTCTCTGCCGTTCTAACTTAACTTTGTTAAGTACTTAACTTTGTTAAGTACTATGCACCAGCTCAAACACCATGTCATCCATTCTGGATAGTTTGACAGAACAATCACTGGATACCGGTGCCTCATCTATCTTAGATCTACTCTGCTGGCTGCTTTGGCAGCACATAGCATAGGTAGGAATTGGGGAGGAACCTTGGCCTCAGACTGATAGTGTTTTGGCATCCACTTGGAGTCTGTCCCTTATGTGGACAGCACCTGTTGCAAGAGGCTTGGGATCTGCTAACAGGTGCTACCAGAATGTACCTGGCTCATGCAGCCGGAGAGCAGAAGGAAGGCAGAGAGGTAGGAAGAGATGATAAATTGGTGCTATTGCTTTCTTTAGAAAAAACAAATAAATTACATATATATATTATATATATATATATCTGCATTGACTAAAAGGAGGAGGTGGATGCTCAGAGCTGAGCCTCGACCTGGTTACAATACATGAATAGAAGCTGGGAGGGACCACAGAGACCAATAACCTGCAGCCCCTCTTGTCCCCCTCCCCACCTGTCCCCCCCGGTTTCCCATGGCCCTGCTCCAGCTCAGGACTCCGCCGTCTCACCTTGAGGCTGAGCTGTCTCGTACGGACCAGGCATGGACTGGCAGAGTTGGAGGGTGGGAGCGGGGGGAGATGTCGGCAGGTTTCCTTCTCTGGGACTGCAGAGTTAACTTCTGCGTGGACTCACGCCCACGGGTGTCATCTGGGAAACGCGGGCAGAGCCGCCGGGTACTTACATGTCGTCGGGATGTACATTTTCCTCTGCTTCACCGGGAGAATCCGTGTCATGTTTTTCGCCTTCCCCTTTCTTAAGAGCGGTAGAGCAGAGCGGTCCCGGAGGGAACGCGCCCACCGTGCTCTACCGGAGACGCGAGTCTTATCTTTCCAGCGCTTGCCCATTCGCCCAGCTCGTTGGCTGGCTTGGAGCGGCCCCGGCCGTGCCCGCGGCGCGGCGGCGGGTTTGCGCGGATCCCTCAGCCCCACCGCCGGAGGGGTCTGTCCCCTCGCTGCCCCGCCATCTGGGGGCTCGGGCAGAGGCGAGCGGGCGGCGGACGGGGGACGGGTGCCGGCAGCCAATGGGCGCCACGCACGGAAACACCGGCAGGAGAAGGAGGAGAAGGAGGGGATGGACGACAGGGCAGGAGAACGAGGAGCGGGAGGAGACACCGGGATGGAGAATAGAAGGAGGAGAGAGAGGTGCAAGGAGAGGGGCAAAAGGATAGAGGAGCGTGGAAGACGGGGAGGATGAAGGAATGAGGAGTGCGGTAAAAGAAGCTGAAGACAGTGTAGGGGAGAGGGAGAGGAAGAAGAGGGATAGAGAGAGCAGCTATGTGGTGGGAGAGTGGTGTGCAGTAGGGGGTGACTTGACTCGGCTTCCCTAGGCAGGCACCCAGGAGACAGCCTCCCTGTTCTGAGGGTCGTGCAAGCAGGACTCATGTTGCTCAGAGCTGCAGGGACACGGCAAAACCTTCTGGCTGGCAAGATGCTCAGAAATCGAGGTAGATGTTAAGCACACAAACCCTTGTCCCTTCTATTCTGCCCTATGAGCATCTCCAGATGGATGGAGATGAGGGCAGACGGCCAAATAGGGGGCTGTATGTTTCAACTCCTTCCCTTATCTGACTCCATGAACAATCTCTTGTCTTTTGCACTTTCATTGGGAAAATGCACTAGTTCAACAGCCCTGAACTCTCCTACTAGATTTCATCTCTGCTAGAACATGTAGACCCAGAAGAAATGGGTCTAGAAAGAAAATTAATCTCCTTTGTTTGAGCAGTTCTCCCAGGAAGGACATGAGGATTTTCCCATTCCATTCCCTGCACAAAGGCCTTTCCTGTCATTCTCACCTCCTTCCCGGCCCTGCAGCCAACATCAGTGACTGTTCGTGCAGTCACCCACTTCTTGACATTTGGCAGTGCTGTTGCAAGCATTTGAGGCCCCTAGGGCCAATTCCAGTCTTAACAGAAGAAGGCAGTATCTCTGCGAGCAGAACATAGCCAGGGTTTAATCTGGCATTCCAAATCTATTTGAGCAACTTTATGTTCAGCCAGTGTTGATCATAGGTGAGCTGATGAAGGCAGTACAGGACTTCAAAGCTGTCAGGCTGCCTTAGGCCGGAACTTCACCACAATGCTGTCTGGAGACACACAAGAGATATGACGCCTCATTGTGGAAAAAATGGCATGGGTAGCACCCAGAGGTTTTCTTTGCCATGGCAGAGCAGGTATCTGTAGCACCATGCAGGAGCCCCTCAGTTCCTATCTTAGAAGAAACAGAGCCAAACAACAGCAGAGCTCTACGAAGGCCTGCTAACCCTTGCAGGACTTGCTAGCGTAAGCACAGTCACAGGATCACAAATTCCAGGTCTCCAGATCACTTTCCCAGTGCTCCAAGTCCTGCCCCATTCTCAGCTCTAACAGGGTTGTGCAAACTGCTTAAATTTTGTTGGGGTGAGAGCTCAGCCTGTGCACCTCCACAGGTAGGAAGATACATAAATTTTGTTTCACGCACATGGTCAGTATTGCTGTTTGTGGGGACGAGGCAGATTGAGAAGGTAAAAGCCAAGGCTTGAAAACTAGAGAGAAAGTAATAAACCACTGGGAATACATTGGTTTGAGCAATGCTTAGAATTTTTAAAGGAGATTAGATCCCATTCTCAAGGGCTTTGTGTCCCTTGCCCTTCCACAGGTATATGCCCATACCAGAGACTTAATTTTTGTGCATCTGGACTTACGCTGACATAATTTACATTACCTTTGGATGGGCCCTGAGCAATTCATCCAGCAGCCCATGTGCAATGCAGATATTTGTGGGACTTACTGCCACAGGATGCCCTCCAGGGTTGCTCTGGACTTTATCAGTAGGCAATGTGTCACATCACTGAGTTAACTGCCTTATTTAGATCCAACCATGAATTGAAATTGCAGAAATTTCCCTGGCAGCAGGGTACCTCGGGGGCTTCACTGTGGTGGTTGTAGCTGGCACTACCCATGCACCTCCTCAGTGCAGGAAGCAGCCTGTGAAGCTCAGAAGTGTTGCTGCATCCAGGAATGATAACCTGGCCCAACTCCATAGTTTCTCTGTGCCCTCCTAAGACTGCAGGATTTTGCAGTGCCAATCATTGCACCCTGAGCCCTCCTCCCTCCTGCAAGCAGTGGCAGTGGCAGCCACCCTGTAACACTTACTCTCAAGTCCCTGCAATGCATCAGGAAGGCAGGTGCTCACAGCTGCCAGATCCATAGTACCTCTGGGACCACTCTCTTCAGCTTAATTTTAGTGTCTTGGAGGCAATTTGTCTGGACTGGTGACTCATTCCTCCCTCTTTAATTTTTTTCCCTGCCCTCCCCCTCCCTATTCTCTTTCTGACTGTGCCTAGCAGTATGCGTGAATGCTAGTACTGATATGACTCCTTGGGATGTGAGCTTAGGAAGATTAATGCAGCAGTGTTTTGGTGAAAGGATGTCCACAGCAACCTGCAGGGGCAGTCCTCGCGGAGAGGAATCTGGGTCCGGGTGTCCCATCCCAAAGCCTGCACCCCATCCTCTGTGGATCTTGGAGGGGAGACAACTCTTCCTTTGGACACATGGAGACTGAGAAGAGGATAGGCAAAAGCAAAGATGTAATCACCCCACTGCACACAATATTTGCACTTTACTGAGGAACGCAGGGGGCTCAGCTGAGAACTTAGCAACTTGGTGCATGAATCATGCTGTGTCTCTTCATCGAATAGTGGCTGGGGCTCATGAAGCTCAGTGTGGTTCTGCCTGGCTTGTTGTTGCTGAAGGAGGGGCACAGCTGGTAGGTGCCTCCACCCAGCTGTCCCATTGCTCACTGCTTCAGGGCTGTCCCCCCCCCATGGTGCAACACTTCGCAGACATAGCAAGAATATGGTCTGTTTATTGGGTCTTATTCACTATGCTGTAACCTCAGGGGCCCAGGAAGAAGGGCAGGAGCAGGTAGGGTGAGGTGAGTGTGGGGAAGTTGTGCAAACTAACACA